AGGGCCCGTCCACCAGCGCAGTGCCTCAGTCCACCAAGAGGAGGGCGCCGGACTCTGAGAGCCAAGATGCCAAAAGAGCGAAGGCCTCCCTGGTTCCTCAGGTACAGCCCTCCACGTCCGCTTTGCCCACCAACTTTGACAAAGCCGGAAAGGAGTCCACTAGGACGACCGTCGGTAAGGCTTCGGGACTCGGTTTACTCCCTGATTATGATGACGAGGAGGACGAGGAGGAGGAGAAGGGAGGAGGAGGAGGAGCAGAAGGGAAGAAGGGGGATGCCTGTAAGCAGCCGTCCAATTCACAGAGCAAGGAACACTCACTTTCCTCCTCGCGGGAGGCAACTGGTAATAGACTGCCAAGCAATTTCTCGGATACAAATCCTCCCAAGGCCCCTTTAATCCCTCATTCCGGGTCAATTGAGAAAGCAGAAATACATGAAAAAGTAGTGGAAAGGAGAGAAAACACTGCGGAAGCATTACCAGAAGGGTTTTTTGACGACCCTGAGATAGACGCGAGGGTACGAAAGGTTGATGCCCCAAAGGACCAGATGGACAAAGAATGGGACGAATTTCAAAAAGCTATGAGACAGGTCAACACTATTTCCGAAGCCATAGTTGCCGAAGAGGATGAGGAGGGACGGTTGGACCGGCAGATTGGGGAGATCGATGAGCAGATTGAGTGTTACCGTCGAGTGGAAAAGCTGCGGAATCGCCAGGATGAAATAAAAAATAAGCTTAAAGAGGTTCTGACCATAAAAGAACTGCAAAAAAAGGAAGAGGAGAATGTTGACAGCGATGACGAGGGGGAACTACAGGATTTGTTGTCTCAGGATTGGAGAGTGAAGGGAGCTTTGTTATAGGGTATCAGAGACCCACGATTTTGTACTGTTGTGTAGAAAGTGCTCTCAGTACAGTACCCTTTACTCCATGCCTAGAGATTTGGTAACCTAACTGGATTGTTGAGATACAGTGAGCCTTCGAAGAGACCACTTTGGAAGATTAGTGTAAAATATTTTTGAGGTAGAGGTGTTTTTGAAGTATTACATACTTAAATGCCAGTTTTTTTCATACATTTATATAGCTAAAGTTTGGGTTGTAAAAACTGTAAATGTTGTACATTTTAAATATATATTTACCTAAGAATTCTGGTTTGAGATTTATAAATTAATAGAAGTCAGACTAACAGACAAGCTTTTAAATGAAAACCAAGTGTGGCATTTGTGGTATATATGACTTGTTCTTTTCCAACTCACTAAATCAAATTCAAGGTTATTTTGTTGTTTTTGTTTTTAAGAACACTGCTCATGAACACATAAGTTATTCAGTGCTAATTAGTTCTCTGTTTTATAAAACCATGTTCCAGGGGAACATAGTGAAAAATACATGCCAAGTATGACCAACTTCCTTAATCCAGAGTTTCTGTATTAAACCAGTGATTCTTGGTTGTAGGTGCACATGAAAATTTCATGCAGCTTTTTAAAAAGTGTACGTGAATCATGTGTGAAGCTTTTTCTAAAATTCATGTGCCCCTACCATTGAAGAGATTCAGTAAAGCTAGAGTGGGGCTCAGACACCTATGTTAGTTTTGAAAGCTTCCCAGGTTCTTCTGTGACAATTCCCAGAGGGTCCAGTAGTCAGGGCTCAGCACTTCCACTGCAGTGGGCGCGGGTTCAATCTCTGGTACCCTGGTCAGGAAACTAAGATCCCAGAAAGCTGTGAGGCTTGGCCAAAAAAAAGCAAACTTCCCATTATTCTAATAAGGCTAAAATTTGGGCACCACTGTGCTAAATCTAGAACACATTTACATTTTCCCAGGCTTTATTTCTTCTTGAAATGTCACATCCCACAAGTTTACTGTCTGTCGCATAAAAGAAATACTACCTTTTATTTATATCCCACCTAATCTTAGATTTTATTGTTAAATATTGTGGTAAATTAGGGTTCAGAATTAACAGGTTCTATCAGTTGTAGGAAGGAGGTAATAGCTAAGACTTACATATAAGCCAGGCAGAGTTCTAAGTGATTTGCATAAGCTCAATCTGATTTCCCTGAAGCCCAGGTTTTAGGTCCAGGGTTAAGGTATAAAAAAAGCCTTGAATGTTGAACAAAATAATTCTTCTTACAGACACTGGGCAAAAAGAAAGTTTTTGAGCCAAGAGTTATATCTGCAAAAAATAGGGAAGATTATTTTAGTTGCAGTATATAGAATGGAATGAACATAGGTAGGGGGCAGGAAGCTGGGAAACTACTTGGAAACTAGACTTTAAAAGCAAAGCAACTAAGACTAATTAGGTATGTACTGAAAGAAAGGTAACAGAATTGAAAGAATTTCACAGGAAGAGCTAACATCTTAGGGAATAGAAGTGATGAACAATAGGAGAAATATAGATGGAATTAGGGGTTTGGAGTTTTTCTAGTATGGGTGCCTGTAAGAAGTTATCTAACACTTCCAGAGCATATTAATTGTCCTGTGGCCTTTGGCAGAAAGGCTTTGCTTTCCTGATCTGTCCAGCTGATCTGAGTAACTTCAGTTTGATAATGTAAAGGGTATGTCTGCATCAAATATATGAACCCAGACTTAGAATTTTTTTTATCATTTATCATATTATTTCAGGATGTGAGAAAGTACAAGGTGGGGCTTGAAGGGTGGGCTCACTTCTACACGGGCCTAAGAGAGTAGGCTAATGATGTAGAGGAGCACTGTATATTAAAACTATAATTCAAGGGACTTCCCTGGTGGTCCAGAGGTTAAGATTTGGCCTTCCAATACAGGGGGTGCATGTTTGATCCCTGCTCAGGGAGCTAAGACCCCACATGCCTTGCAGACAATAAACCAAAACATAAAACAAGCAATCTTGTAACAAATTCAATAAAGACTTTAAAAAAATGGCCCACGTCAAAAAAAGTCTTTAAAAAAAAGTATTCTTAATTAAAAATAAGTGGCTCAGCAGTAAAGAATCCATATGCAGTGCAGGATACATGGGTTCGATCCCTGGGTCAGGTAAATCTGGAGTAGGAAATGGCAACTCACTCCAGCATTCTTGCCTGGAGAATTCCACAGACTGAGGAGCCCGGCGGGCTGCAGTCCTGGGGTCTTAAAAGTCATACACAACAGTGTCTTAAGCATACACACATACATATAAAATGCAAGCCACATACATATATTAAAATTTCTAGGAACCCACATGAAAAAGTAAACAGAATGTGAAATTAGTTTTCACATGGGGCATGGGCTGGATCCCTGGTCAGGGAACTAAAATCCCACATGTTGCACCAAACAGCCAAAAAAATAAAGGTATCCAAATGGAAAACTACAACATTCTCAGGAGGTAGGGAGCCGCCTAATTTAACTGGAGCAGTGTTTATCCCTGAGAACAGTGGGAGTGGCAATTGGAAAGGTAGGTTACAAGCCAAGGAGGGCCTTGAATGCCATGCTCTAAGGAGTTGGCACTTTCACTAAGTTAACAGTTGAGTAGCCTTAAGGTTATTGAGTCCTTTAACAGTTAAAGACGAGCTTAAGGAGTACCAAGCATATAAGTCCCCCACTGGGTTTTTAAGAGGACCCAAAAGCTCTCAAAACTCAGAGCATGAGTAATGGGTCCTTGATCAAAAGCCAGTGAATTCTTGTTGAATCTGAGATTGATGTAGACAGCAACAGGAGTTGTTGAATCCTCCTTGATCCTCCATGCTTTGGAGAGCTTCTTTATACCTCTTAGAGCTATGTGAAACAGGTTTTGCATTAGACTGTGAATACCAGCCATGTTCCCAAATTCTAAGAATTGGTCCCAAAGATGTCTTCTTGTCATGTCTTTTTAGAAACTACCCCCTAAAGACTTCCCTGGTGGCTCAGATGGTAAAGCGTCTGCCTACAATGCAGGAGACCTGGGTTCGATCCCTGGGTCAGGAAGATCCCCTGGAGATGGAAATGGCAACCCACTCCAGTACTCTTGCCTGGAGAATCCCATGGATGGAGGAGCCTGGTGGGCTACAGTCCATGGGGTTGCAAAGAGTTGGACACGACTGAGCAACTTCACTTTCACTTTTCCCCTAATGCAGCCAGGGCTTCCCAGTTGGTGCAGTAGTAAAGAATCTACCTGTCAATGCAAGAGATACAAGAGACACTTCAATCCCTAGGTCAGGAACTTTCCCTGGAGGAGGATATGGCAACCCACTCCAGTATTCCTGCCTGGAAAATCCTATGGAGAGAGGAGCCTGGAAGACTATAGGCCATGGGATCACAAAAGAGTTGGACACGACTGAGCATGCACACGGGGGCACACACACTAATGCATCCAACATTTACAGACATACCTCAAAGATGTTGCAAGTTCCATTCCAGACCACCATAATAAACAATAAATCCAGTCACACAAATTTTTTGACTTCCCAATACATAAAAAAGTTATTGTAGTCTATCAAGTGTGTAATAGCATTATGTCTTGAAAAAAAAGTATTGATACATATCTTAATTTAAAAATTCTTGTAGAATACACTAACCATCACCTGGCCTTTGGTGACCACAATAGTAACCTCAAAGATCACTGATTATAGATGACCATAACAATGGTCATGTATGGATGTGAGAGTTAGACTATAAAGAAAGCTGAGTGCCGAAGAGTTGATGCTTTTGAACTGTGGTGTTGAAGAAGACTCTTGAGAGTCCCTTGGACTGCAAAGAGATCCAACCCGTCCATCCTAAAGGAGATCAGTCCTGGGTGTTCATTGGACGGACTGATGCTGAAGCTGAAACTCCAATACTTTGGCCACCTAATGCAAAGAGCTAACTCATTTGAAAAGACCCTGATGCTGGGAAAGATTGAGGGCAGGAGAAGGGGACAACAGAGGGTGATGGTTGGATGGCATCACTGACTCAATGGACATGGGTTTGGGTGGACTCTTGGAGTTGGTGATGGACAGGGAGGCCTGGCGTGCGTTCATGGGGTCACAAAGAGTCTGACATGACTATGTAACTGAACTGAACTGAACAAATACAACATGGGAAAAGTTTGAAATATTGTGGGAATTATCAAAATGTGACACAGGGACACAGTGAGCAAATGCTGTGAGGTATGCCTGTGTTAGAATGATTGTAAATACTTTTTGGCCACCTAATGCAAAGAGCTGACTCATTTGAAAAGACCCTGATGCTGGGAAAGATTGAGGGCAGGAGGAGAAGGGGACAACAGAGGGTGATGGTTGGATGGCATCACTGACTCAATGGACATGGGTTTGGGTGGACTCCAGGAGTTGGTGATGGACAGGGAGGCCTGGCGTGCGTTCATGGGGTCGCAAAGAGTCTGACACGACTGAGCGACTGAACTGAACTGAACAAATACAACATGGGAAAAGTTTGAAATATTGTGGGAATTATCAAAATGTGACACGGGGACACAAAGTGAGCAAATGCTGTTGGAAAAATGACACCAATAGACTAGTTCAGTGCAAAGTTGCCACAAACCTTCAATTTGTAAAAACAAAAGCAGTACTACAAAGTGCAATAAAATGAGGTATGCCTGTGTTAGAATGATTGTAAATACTACTTTGTACACCTCTCACCCATTTCACTTATCAACTGAATATATTTCCCCTAACTTGGAGGGAAAGAAAAAAAATGCCAATCTCCAAACTAGGCTTCAAATGTTTATTTGTCCAGTGCCTTACAATTTATAAAATACTTTCACATATATCTCATTTAATGATAAGTAATGACTGCTTTTTACACACCAGATAACAAAATTAGATGCTATGGAATTAAACTGCATGAAAAAGTATAATTTAGGCCTAAAACTTTTAATGTAGCACTCACTAGATTAGTATGGAGTAATGGAAAGAACATGGGACCTGTCAAGAGAAAACAGAAGACAAGTTCTAGTTCCCACTCTACTATTTCTTTCATTGAACTATAGTGGATTTACAATGCTGTGTTAATTTCTACTGTACAGCAAAGTGATGCAGTCATATATATTTATTCTCATATTCTGTTCCATTATGATCTACCACAGGATACTGAATAGGTTACCCCCACCCTCTACTTTTTAACATCTAGTGATCTTGGGCAAGTGGCCTCTCTGAAACTTAATTTGATGTACCAGAAAATGATGATGATACCCCACAGAGTGTAGTGAGAGTCTAATGACACATGCATGTGAAAGGCATTCATAAACTGAAATTTATTAAAAAAGCAATAAAAGTATTTCTACTAGTAGCATCTGGTCTAACCCTGCTTCATGCTACTACTAATTTACTAACTTGAGTTATGCTACTTTAAGTTATGCTAACTAGATCTCAGGCTAATAGTTTAATGCCCCTTAATTCCCTCTTTTGGGCTTTCCAGATGGCTCAGTGGTGAAGAAGCCGCCTTCCAATGCAGAAGATGCAGGTTCGATCTCTGGGTTAGGAAAATGCCCTAGAGAAGGAAATAGCAACCCACTACAGTATTCTTGCCTGGAGAATCCCATGGACATACATGGATATAATTGTGTACACGTGGGGACTTTCTATAGAAAAGGTGTACGGGTTCATTACATATTCTAATGTAATATCTATAGATTATAAGATAAAGTCAAGCATGTATCTGCTGATACTTTTTAAGTTGACCTGTCTTTATACTTAGAAATGTCTCTTAAAAGGAGGCTTCCCTGGTGGCTCAGATGGTAAAGAATCTGCCTGCAGCACAGGAGACCTCTGTTTGATCCCTAGGTCAGGAAGATCCCCTGGAGGAGGAAATGGCAAACCACTCCAGTATTCTTGCATGGAGAATTCCATGGACAGAGAAGCCTGGCAGGCTATAGTCCATGGGGACGCAGAGAGTCAGACACAACTGAGCCACTATCACTCGCACCAAAGTCATCCAGTTGAAATCTGGAGACAGAGATGGCTAAGGTATTGTTACAAGATTTGTTCAGGAGAGTCCCAGGTGTCTTGGTATAATTATGATTAGTACATTCTTTTACCCTCAACACTGTCCCTTTTTGGAGATATATATATATATATATATTCACGTATGTAAAAGTTTCACAGGAGGAAAAGCCACTTTCTGATGAATAGAAGGTCTTAATGGAAATAGTATGCTTCTTGACAATGATGCGCCAACTTGGTGGAACATTTTGTAGGGACGTTTGAGTAAATACATATGTGAGTAGGAATGGTGGCAGATAGATGACCTTAGATTGCCTTTTCAATGTTGAGATTCTAGTAGCCTGCATGATACCAGGAATTTAGATACTTTAAATCTGAACAGGAAAACAAAATTCCTCCAACTCTGCATTTTATTTCCTATCTACATTTCCTCCCTCAGTGAATCCTCATTCATTCCCATGGGTTTGTTTTGGTTTGGTATTTTAAATTATTTATTTTTGGTTGCGTTGGGTCTTCTTTGCTGTGCTGGGACTACTCACTGTTGTGGTGCGCAGGCTTGTCGTTGCGATGGCTTCTCTTGTTGGGGAACACGGGCCTTAGGCACGCTGGCTTCAGTAGTTGTGGCATGCAGGCTCCAGGGCATGCTGGCTTCAGTAGTTGTGGCATGCAGGCTCTAGGACACGCTGGCTTCAGTAGTTGTGGACATGGGCTTAGTTGCTCCATAGCATGCAGAATCTTCCCGGACCAGGGATCGAACCCATGTCCCCCACACTAGCAGGTGGATTCTTATCCACTGTACCACCAGGGAAGTCCCTCGTGTGTTTAAATGTCATCCATATTGCAGCAATGTGTACGGAACTAGAGACTATCATACTAAGTGAAATAAGTCAGAGAAAGATAAATACATGATGTTGCTTATAGGTGGAATCTAAAAAAAGAAAAAAAAAAACGAACTTATTTACGAAACAGAAACAGAGTGCCAGATATAGAAAACAAACTTATGGTTACCAGGGCGGAAAGAGAGAAAGAGGGATCAATCGGGAGACTGGGAGTGACACATACATGCTACTAAATATAAAGCAGATGATAAGGAGCTGCTGTATAGCACAGGGGACTCTGTTCAACACTCTGCAATGACCTTACGGGAACAGAATCTTAAAAAGAGTGGATACATGTCCATGTATAACTGATTCACTTTTCTGTACAGCAGAAACTAGCACAACATTATAAACCAACTACACTTCAAATTAAAAAAAAAAAAGTATCACCCATATACTGATGACTCCCAATTTATATCCCCAGGCTTGACTTTTCTCCTGGGAAGCATCCTTCATTACCTTTTCTTATCCAAATCTAATGCAGTAGTTAAGTCCTGGCAACTCTACCTCTAAAATATGCCCAGAATCTGTCTGCTTCTTTCTGTCTCACTGGTCCTAACCACCACCAACAGCCTTTGCATTAATTGTTGGCTGTCTCCCTCCCAACCACAATCTGTTATCTACAAAGTACAGTGAAATAGATCAAGTCACTCTGTCACTTAAAAACCTTCATTATATGCTTTCATCACAGGGTAAAAAAAAGAATCTAGGCCCTTTCCAGTCTACTATATGCTCTGAAGTTCAGTTCAGTTCAGTCGCTCCATCGTGTCCAACTCTTTGCAACTCCATGGACTGCAGCACGCCAGGCCTCCCTCTCCAACACCAACTCCCAGAGCTTGCTCAAACTCACGTCCATTGAGTCGGTGATGCCATCCAACCATCTCATCCTCTGTCGTCCCCTTCTCCTCCCGCTTTTAACCTTTCCCAGCATCAGGGTCTTTTCCAGTGAGTCAGATCTTCGCATCAGGTAGTCAAAGTTATTGCAGTTTCAGCTTCAGCATCAGTCCTTCCAATGAATATTCAAGACTGATTTCCTTTAGGATGGATTGGCTGGATCTCCTTGCAGTCCAAGGGACTCTCAAGAGCCTTCTCCAACTCCACAGTTCAAAAGCATCATTCTTTGGCACTCAGCTTTCTTTATAGTCCAATTAGTAACTCTGAAGTTACTAATTCAAATATTTACTATTTGACCTACTGCTGACCTTGAGCTTCATTAAAGGAGGTTGGGAGCAGACAAGTGAGCATATAACTGCTCTGTGTTGAAATCAAATATTATTCAAGAATAGAGGCCTGGCATGGCCAAGTTTTGTTTTTTTCCAAGAGAAATTGCAAGTCAGGATCATTTTTTTTAGTGAAATCTGAAAAACACCATGTGAGCTAAATGTGATCCAAGGGACCCCCACTTTGTGAACTACTTTCTAACTTCATGTGCTACACGCTCCCCTTTTATTCTCTGTGTTCCAGGTCTCAGCAGCTAACCTTCTCTTCCTCAAACATGCCATTTCAGGACCTGCACCTGGCCCTCTGCTCAGGACCTATCTCAAATAGTATGGCAGTCCTCTCATCATTCAGTTCTCAGTCCTAATGTCCCTTTCTCAAATGATGTGAACAGCCATCCCACCCCGCACCTCCTGTCATTTTAGCACATTTTCCCTATGAATTCAGTAAACTTGCGTGCTCAGTCAACTTTAGTCGTGTCCGACTCTTTGTGACCCTATGGATTGTAGCCTGCCAGGCTCCTCTCTCCGTGGGATTCTCCAGGCAAGAATACTGGAGTGGGTTGCTACCGCTATCTTAAATTAGCTTGCTTATTGATACATAAATCTTATATCTTCTCACCAGAATGTAAACTCCACAAGGGCAGGGAGCTCGTCTGTCTTACTCACAACCTAAAATAATGCCAGGCACATAATAAGGCTCAATAAATATCTGTGGAGTGAATAATACTCATAAGGCAGGAAGTGGCTTGGAAAAGTGGTCAGAGGAGCAAACTGACTCATGGACATCGGAACCCAAACGGAAGTCAGTTCAGCACTTAAACGAAGGGGTAAGAAATCTTCTTTGGGACTTCCCTGGTAGTCTAGTGGCTAAGACTCCATGTTCTCAATGCAGGGCACCAGGGTTTGATCCTCGGTCACAGAACTAGATCCCACATGCTGCAACTAAGAGTCCATAAGCTGTAACTAAAGATCACACATGCCACATAAGACCTGGCACAGCCAAATAAATACTCGAAAAGGAAAAAAAGGAAAGAAATTGATCTGCCTCATAGGTAATCCCCTGGTGGTCCAGCGGTTAGGACTCTGCACTCTCACTGCTGAGGACCAAGGTTCAATCCCTGGTCAAGGAACTAAGATCCCACAAGCCACTCAGCATGGTAAAAAGAAAAAAAAGAATCTTCCCTGTGTCTCCTTTCTCAGACATATGAAAGCCCTTATCTATACTGAGAGCGGCACCACAAGGAATGTATACACCATAGTCCCCAGAGTGTAATGTATCATCTCCGCATTTAGCAACTAAAACAAATTCTTCCTGGCACCAAACAAGCTAAGGGGGAAGAAGAATGCCCATATGGCAGCGGGAGCGGGCAGGCAGCCCTGATGGCCTGGAGGCCTCTCAAGCAGAGAAAAGGAGGAATAAAGTGATTCGGCAGCAGAGTTAAGACCAAAAAGTCAGCAAGTGCTCATTGTCTCCCAGCTGCTCTCAGTCCCTTCCCTGCTACCATCTCATTTGGCTCACCCCTGTCACTTGGCAGTCAAAGCTCTCTCCCAGTGAGTCTCTGCATCAAGCCATCATCCTGCATTGAAAGTACTCCCAGCCTCAGAGGAGGAACAGAGTTCCATCTGGCTGCACCTCCAGTTTGCCACGCCTTTGGTGGGCTTCAAGCACCTGGGGAGCCAGCGGTCACCCTTAGGGGAGTTCAGAGGACCATGCTGGTTGGGTAGCTGATGGTGGTGGTTGTTGCTTTTGTTGTGTGTAAGTATTGTTTGTTTGTTGTTCTGCCAAATGTGGTGATAAGAGAATATCAAACCAGGTTGTCAGGTTATTTATTAATAATAGTTACCATTCACTAGATTCCTACCATGTGTTTGAGATTGGGCTTAACATACACCATCTCTAACCCTCTCAACAACCCTGTAAGGTATACAGTATCTTCATCTTACAGATGGAAAAACTGATGCTCAGAAGTAAAGGAATTCAACCCTGCATCATTTCCCTGGTGGCTGAGCAGTAAAAAATCCACCTGCCAATGCCTGCCACTGCAGGAGATAACAGGTTCAACCCACTCCAGTATAGGAAATGGCAACCCACTCCAGAATTCTTGCCTGGAAAATTCCACGGACAGAGGAACCTGGCAGGCTACAGTCCATGGGGTCGCTAAAAAGTCAGACATGACTTAGCAACTAAACAACAACAAATTACTAAATATTACCTTGTATTTGCATAATGAGAGGTT